TGGCTGCCGCTGCTGCTGCTGCTGCTGCTGCTGCTGCCTACTGCTGTCTCGAGTTGGGCCATTGGGCTCCTTCTGTTTTTCTCCCTAACAGTTCCAGCAATAAAATAAAAAATAAATTAAATTAAATAAATAAATAAATAAAAATAAAATAAATATTTTGTCTTTTATTCAATTAAATATTTCCTTTTTTTTGTTGCTGCTGCTGTCTTACAGCTGCCTGCTGCTGCTGCTGCTGCTGCTGCTGTTGCTGCTCCTGGAAGAAAAAATAAATCCAATTACCTCCCTATCTATTTAGGGTTTATTAGGGTTTACGAGGGTTTATAAGTATATATTAGGGTTTATGAGGGTCTATTAGGGTTTAGGGTTTGCATATAAGTAGTACGCACTATGCGCTTCTTGTCTACTGCAGCAACACATTTAGGGTTTAGGGTTTAGATCTTTTATTATTTAGGGTTTATATTTTTAGGGTTTATGTTATATATAGTTAGGGTTTAGATATTTAGGGTTTAGGGTTTAGATCATTAGGGTTTATACCTTTTAGGGTTTAGATCATTAGGGTTTAGGGTTTTGATTTATTAGGGTTTAGGGTTTTTATAGCAACTAAAGAACATCTAATAACAATAAAAAAATAAAATAAACCCTGAGGGTTTGCGTAAACCCTAATTTAGGGTTTAGGGTTGGGTCTTCGCTCTATATTTCTTTTCCTTTTTTCCTTTCCCCTCCCTCCCCCTATTTCTCCTTTTTGTCTCTTTTTCTCTTTCTCTCTCTTTTTCTTTTTTTTCTCTTTTTTTCTCCCTTTTTTATTTAATTGTTTTTTTTTTGTGTCTTTGTTTGTTGTATACCTTAGCAAACATTTCCTCCTTATTTTACGTCTTTCTTTTTTTTGTTCCTTGTTGCTCTCTTTTTAATTTAATTTAATTTAATTAATTAATTAATTAATTAATTAATTACTTTCTTTTTTATTTATTTTATTGTAATAATAAATAATAATTATTAAGAATAGTAAGTAATTAATTAAGAGAAAAACAAAAAAATACAAAAAAAAAAGAAAAAAAGAGGAAAGAAAGGAGAAAAAAAACAGAAGGAAAAAAGAAAAAATAAAACAAAAGAAAAGGAGAAAAAAGGAATAAAAGAAGAAAAAAGGGGAATAGGGAATAAAAGGAGACAAAAAAAGAGACAAAAAGGGGAACAATAACAAGAAAGGAAGGACACAGCAGGAATAAGGAAACACAAGAGAAGAAAAAAAAGGGGGAAAAGAAGATAACTAATTAATTAATTAATTAATTAATTAATTAATTAGTCAATTAATTAATTAATTTATATTGAAACATTTAACTAATTATTCAATACGTTCAGGCAAATAAAGAAGGAAATAAATAAATAAATAAATAAATAAATAAATAAATAAATAAATAACTAAATAAATAACCTAATTATTAATTTATTAGCTAACTATTAACTACACTCGTATAGCATCGGCAGCAGCCGTAGCAGCAGCAGCAGCGGGAGCAGCAGCCGTGTGGGCATGAGTAGGTGCTCTCAGCAGCAGCAGCAGCCATTTTAGCAGCAGCAGCAGCAAACGTAATAATAGCAGCCGCAGCACTAAAGTATCGAGAGGAGCTACACCACTGTTGCTTCGCATGCCGTCAGCAGCAGCAGCAGCAACAGCAGCAGCAACAGCGATGTGCTGATCCAGTTGTCTGCTCAAACCAACAAACGCCTCACGAGGCTGTGGAGCTGGGCAGCAGCAGCAACAGCAGCACGAACAGCAGCAGCAGCAACAGCACCAAGAACAGCAGCAGCAGCAACAGCACCAAGAACAGCAGCAGCAGCAACAGCACCAAGAACAGCAGCAGCTCAACAGCAGCAGCATGTGGGCCATGGAGAAAGAGGCTTCTTGATCTCCGCAAGAGCTAGTGCTACTGCCTCCCCAGTGCTGCTGCTGCTGCTGCTGCTGCTGCTACTGCTGCTCGTGTTGTTGCTGCTGGTAGTATTGCTGCTGTTGGTGCTGCTGCCGGTGTTGTCGTCGCTGCTGCACTCTCATGTCAGTGAGTGCTGCTAGGCATCTCTGTCTGTCTGTAAATCGTGTCACTGCCATGCTATTGCTGCAGCTACTGCTGCTGGCGCTGCTGCAGCTGCTGCAGCCGTTGCCGCTGCAGGAGCAGCAGCTGGGGCCCGAGACGCGTCGCAGCGACTCTCCCTAGCAGGAGGGGTGGCGAGGGCAACTAAACAAAAATATAAGCAAATTTAATTTATACAAATTAGTAAATAAAAAATAATAGATAAACAGTAGAAAGAAACGGAGGCAGAGGAGAGAGAGGAGCAGCAGATCGCGCTGCATCAGCAGCAGCTGTGGCAGCGGCTGCTGCGGTGCGCCTGCATGCAGCAGCAGCAACAACACCGACTGCCCCATAGATTACCGTTTGCTGCAGCAGCAGCAGCGGCATCGCAACAATTGCTGCAGCGCATTTGCTGCAGCAGCAGACCTAATAACTCACCCCTTGTATAAGCAGCAATAACACTGCAGCAGCAACTGCTGCTCAGGCTGCTGCTGCTGCAGCAGCCGCAGCAGCAGCAGACACGGAAACGCGCTGCATGCGCGGAATAAAATGGAACCTGGAGCAGCAGAGTTGCTGCAGCAGCAGCTCCAGGGTCTATTAGAGCAGCAGCAAAGACTTCAACAGCAGCAACAGCAGCAGCAACAGCAGCATTCCCAGCAGCAGCAGCAGCAACACCCGCAACAGCAGCCGCAGCAGCATTTGTCCTGGCTTAACAGTGTCCTCCCCGAGCGAGACGCGGCGTCAGGGGCAGCAGCAGCCGCCGCAGCCGCCGCCGCAGCAGCAGCAGCCAAGGAGGAGGCAGCAGCAGCAGCGGGAGGGAACACAGCAGCAGGAGCATCCTCCATGTCAACAATTGCTTCTTCTGCTGCTGCTACTGCTGCTTCTGCTGCAACGGATTCAAGTGAGGCAGCAACTTGCAACAACTTGCTGCAACAGGAGGACACAATAAGTGATAAACAGCAGCAACAGCAGCAGCAGCAACAACAGCAGCAGCAGCAGCATACAAACGCATCTGTTGCTGCTCTTTTGGCATTAAGACGACAGCATCTGCAGCAATACCAGCTGCAGCAACTGCAACAGCAACGCATGCAGAGGTTGCAGCAGCATCAGCTGCAACTGCTGCAGCAGCAGGCAGCTGCTGCAGCACCAGCTGCAGCAGCAACAGCAGCAGACAGCCACGGCGACGCCCACGCAAATGCGGGGCCCGTTGCAGCAGCAACAGCAGAGAAGACCCTCCCTGCTGCAGGTGAGTTAGGGTTTAGGGTTTAGGGATTAGGGTTTAGGGTTTAGGGTTTAGGGTTTAGTGGCTGGGGTTCCGCGTAATCGTATTGAAGAGGACCACATGGATTTGCTGCTTTTGCTGCTGTTGCTGCTGCTGCAGCTGCCGTTGCTACTGCAGATGGATCTCCAGATCTGGCAACGAGGCTGCTAGAAGGCAGCGCAGCAGCAGGACATCTGCTGCTGCAGCAGCAGCAGCAGGAGCAGCAGCAGCAGCAGCATGCGCTCCGACCTGCAGCAGCCAGTGCTGCTGATGGAGGCGGAGTCCCGCCTGCAGCAGCAGGAGCAGCGCATCAGCTGCAGCAACTGCAGCAGTTGAAGCAACAGCAGCAGCAGCAGCTGCAGCAGCTGAAACAGCAGCAGCAGCAGCAAGCATCCCTGTTGAGCCTGCACCAGCAGGCAGCCGTCGCTGCAGCAGCAGCAGCGCAGCGACAGCAGCAGCAACAGCAGCAGCAACAGCAGTTTTCGCTGCATCTCAATCAAGAGACTGCAGCAGGAACGAACTCTGCAGCAGCAACAGCAGCAGTAGCAGCAGCAGCAGCAGATGCAAGAAATTTCCTTCTTGAACAGCCAAGCAGCAGAGCAGCAGTGCTGCTTGCTGCACTACAGAAGCAAACGCTGCAGCAGCAGCAGCAGCAGCAGCAGGACCTCTCCGCCCCACACGCAGCAGCATCACGCTCTGGTAGGCTTTCCCTACAATAGCAGCAGCAGCAGCAACAACTGCAGCAGCAACAACAAGTAGATGTTGCTGGAGAAGCTCCAGTGCATGCTTTTCTTGTGGTGCCTCTGCTACGTAGCTGCTGCTGTTGTTGCTGCTGCTGTTGCTGCTGGTGCTGCTGGTGCTGTGTACCATACAGTGCATGGTTAATGAGTTTCTTGCAGACGCGGGTGTATTCATTCTTTGCTGCTGCTGCTGCTGCTGTTGCTGTTGCTACTGTTGCTGCAGCTGCACTGTACTTGAACGCCTTACTGCCGCAGCAAGGAGCAGCAAATCGGCAGCAACAGGAGCAGCGTGCTGCTCGGTTGTTGCAGATGCAGCAGCAGGCTGTAGCAGCTGCTGCAGTTGCTTCTTCTTACAAGCTGCAGCAACTGCAGCAGCTGCAATTGTTGCAGCAACTGCAGCAGAAACAGCAGCAGCTTCAGCAGCAGCATGCTAGCGAGTCCCCTGGTTCTGCTGCTACTTCTCCTGCAGCAGCAAGAGCTGCTCCTTCCTCTGATGTAGGAGGAGGTGCACCAGCAGCAAGTAGTGCGCCTGTGTCCGTTGCAGCAGCAGCAGCTGCAGCAGCAGCAGCTCATGCAACGCAGCAGGAGCAGCAGCAACAAGGAGCACCCGTTGCAGCTGTGGATAACTGGGTACAGGTATGCAGCAGCAGCAGCAGCAGCAGCAGCAGCAGTATGAAGAGCACCTGAGAGTACCTAGAGCAGCAGCAGCAGCAGCAGCAGCACATATTGATACTACATTTATGTTGTCTACGTATTATTATGGTGGTTATCCCTAGTAGCATTTCTGCTGTTTCTGCTGTTGCTGCTGTTGCTGCTTCTGCAGCAGCAGCAGCAGCAGCTGCTGCTGCTGCATGCATGCATGCAGAAAAAACTGTGGGGTGTGGGGGTGTTGTATATGCAGTGTGAGGCATGCAAGAAATGGAGACGACTCCCCGTGGGGATCGATCCCGACTCGCTCCCCGAGACGTGGCTGTGCTCTATGATGTATTGGGATATAAATAGCAGCAGCTGTGCAGCACCAGAGGAGGACTATAGGGATGATCAGCAGCAGCAGCAACAGCAACAGCAACAACAGCAACAGCAGCAACAGCAGCAACAGCAGCAACAGCAGCAACAAACCCCACTTCAACAGCATACACACTTGCAACATCATGCACAAATCCAACAACAAATACAACAACAGCAACAGCAGCAGCAGCAGCAGCAACAGCTTCTGCTGCTGCAGCAAACACCAGGGTCACGGATTGAGACGAGGGAGTATGATGATCAAGATGGCGACTTTGTGCAGCAGCAGCAGCAAGATCAGCAACAGCAACAGCAACTTGCAGCAGCTGCAGCAGCAGCAACTGGTATGACCAAAAGACGAACGAGGAGCTCATTTCTTGCTGCAACAGCTGCTGCAGCAGCAACAGGTGTGACATGAATAATGCTTCTTGCTGCTGCTGCTGCTGCTGCTGCACTGGCTGCTGGCAGTTGCTGTTGTTGTTGCTGCTGTCCGGGGGTTCATCACATTGTTTTGTTGCTGCTGTTGCTGCAGGCGCGGACTATAGTGTGTCTCCTGGCTGCTGCCCTACTGCTGCTGCACTTCCTCCTTCCTTTCAGCAGCTGCCGCCGCACTTGCAGCAGCAGCAGCTGCAGCTGTTGCAGCGGCAGCAGCTCAGTGCAGCACAACGAGCAGCAGCAGCAGATGGCCGCCATCTTGGTGCAGCTTTGGACGGGACACTTGGGCAACATCAGCAGCAGCCTGGAGCCGCAGCAGCAGCAGCTGCAGCAGCAGAGCTAGCAGCAGCAACTATGGCTCCTGGAGCCTCAGAATTGGTACGCTTGAAAGCAGCAACAACAGCAGCAACAGCAACAGCAACAGCAGCAGCAGCAGCAAATAGCAACAGTAGTAGCAGCATTTATTTGTTCAATTTAAGCCTGTTTTAGGTATTTCATGCTTTATTTGCTGTTGTTGCTGCTGCTTGTGCTGCTGCTGCTGCTGCTGCTGCAGGCTGTGACGCTGCTTCGGCCGCCTGTGCCGAGTAGCCGATTTCATCCTGTTGCGGATAGACTCCTGATCTCCTGTCCTGACGGTAAACCCTAAACCCTAAACCCTAAACCCTAGATCCCTTGAGGGTAAGGAGATTTAGCTCTTGCTATTGTTGGTATCATATTTTGAATACCTGCCTTTGCTGCTGTTGCTGCTGCTATTGCTGCTGCTGCTGCTGCTGCAGGTGCTACGACGACAGGTTGTGCTGTATCGATGCCTAGTGGGGTCCTCCACTTGCGGCTGCTCGATGCTGCACCTGCCCCTTCAAGTGCAAGACGTGCTGCAGTAAGCAGCAGCAGCGGGGCAACAGCAGGAGACGACGCAGCAGGAGGAGGAGGAGCAGGTGGTTGCGGTGTGGGTAGCAACAGCAGCTACTATGAGATGGATGTGCAGCAGCAAACATCTCAAGATGGTTTGGGTGTTGGCGGAAAGCAGCAGACACGCCAATCAGCTGCTGCTGCTGCTGCTGCAGTTGCAGCATCAGCAGGATCAGCAAGCACAGATGCATGCATGCATGTAGATTTTGCCTATGCAACAAGATGGCCTGGTGTAGAGACACTTAGTGCAGCAGCAGAAGAAGATGATTGGCCTTGTGAGCCTGTCTCCTGCAGCAGCTCAGATGAGGAAACAGAGGTACCTGCAGCAGCAGCAGCAGAATCAGCAACAACAGCAGCAACAACAGCAGCAGGAGAAGAAGAACGAGGGGGAAGAAGAGCAGCAGGAGGAGCGGGAGGGGAAGACGGTGCAACAGCATCAGCAGCAACAGCAGAAGAGAAAGACTCTGCTAGTGATTCTACTCCTGCTGCTGCTCCTGCTGCTTCTACAGCAGCAGCAGCAGAATGTCCTAACAGATGTCTCGTTGTACCGAAAGACCCCAACAGCCCAGCAGCATTCTCTGTTGCTCCTGCTGCGCTGCAGCCACAGGAGCTGCAGCAGATTGCTGCTTCTGTGACGCAGCAGCTGCAGGAGTGCTGCAGCATATTAAAGGGACAGATCCCTTATAAAGTATTAAGGACATTCAGGCCGCTGCAGCAGCCGCAGAACGGGGGCAGGAACAGCCAGGAGCAGCAGCAACGGCTGCAGCAACACCTTATGGAAGAGCAGCAACTGCAGCTGCAGCAGCAGCTGCAGCAGCAAAAACGCATTCTTGTAACAGCGTCAACTCCTGTACACCACGTCCTTGATATAAGAGAACTGCTAGGGGCTGTCTGCCTTGCAGACCCGACAGTGCAGCAGCAGCAGCAGCAAGAGCAGCAACAACAGCAACAACAGCAGCAAGTGCTGCAGCAGCAGGAAGATGAAGAGGAGCAGCCGCAACAGCACAACATTCGCAAGTCTGCTGCTGTAGATGATGTCGCACCTAGCAGCAAGCGCATGCGGAGAGCAGCACCTGCTGCTGCTGCTGTTGCTGCTGCTGCTGCTGCTTGTATGGCGGATGCGGTGAAAGGTAGTGCTGCGGAGGGGAGTGCTGCTGCAGAAGCCGCTGCGGCAGGTCTTGCTGCTGTACAGGTTGCTGCTGCTGCTGCAGATAGCTTTGCTGCAGCAGCAGCAGCAGCAACCTGTGCTGCAGCAGATGAGCTGACAGCTGCTGCCAAGCGAGAAGGACCAGAGGAGGTCCCCCCTGTAGAAACAACAACCGACGCAGCACCAGTAACACCACCACCAACAGATTTACCTCCATTTGCTGCTGTGGACGCCAGAAGCAGCAGCAGCAGCAGCAGCAGCAGCAGCAGCAGAGACGGGATGAAGGCCTCTGAGGAGGACGCCATGTGGGGCAGCAAGATAGGAGCGTCAGAACAGCTGCAGCAGCAGCAGCAGCGACAGCAACAACAGGAAGGAACAAGGCGGCAGGATGCTGTTGCTGCCGTTGCTGTCAAAGCAGCAGCGACAGCACCCCAAGAGATGGATACTGGTGCTGCTGCTGCAACGACAACAGCAGCAGATGCTACTGCAGCAAATGCAACAGATGCTGCTCTGCAGGAGGTGTCTTTGCCTTCAGCTTTGGAGAAGCCACAGCGGGAAGCAGAGCCAGCAGCAGCAGCAGCAGCAAGAACAACAACAGCAACTGTGCCGATCGGGGACTCAGCAGCAGTAACGCCAGCTGCTGCTGCGGCAACAGCAAAGGTTGCTTCAGCAGCGGCCGCTGCTGCTGAAGCAACAGTCGCCGCAGCATCAGCTGGTGCAGTAGCAGCTCCTGAAGCAGCAGCAGCAGAAGCAGCAACAGCAGCTGAATCAATAACAGCAGCTGAAGCAGCAGCAACAGCGGAACTAACGGCAGCAGCTGCAACTAAAACAGAAGCAGCAGCAGCGACCGAAGCAACAGCAGCCACAGCTGCAGCAGCAGATGGAGTTACAGCAGCACCTGAGGCATCATCAGCCACAGCAACAGCAGGTGCGAAAGCAGCAGCAGCTGCGGTAGAAGCAGCAACAGCAGCTGGAGCAGCAGCAGCTAAATTAGCTGCAGCTGAGGCAACAAAAGCTCCACCAGAAGCAGCAGAAGCAACAACAGCACCTGTAGCAGCAGCAGCAGCACTTGAAGCAGCAGCAACAGGAGCGGCAGCAGCTGAAGCAGCAGCAACAGTCAAACCAGATGCATCAAAGCAGGCATTATATGATGGAGCAGCAGCAGCAGCAGACGCTGCTACACGCACTGCAGCTGCGACAGAAGCAGCTACATCAGCAGCAGCTGCTGCTGATGCTGCCCTAGCAGAAGCTGCTGCTGCACGAGAACCAGCAGCTGCTGCGATACCGACGAGAGTTGCACAGGCAGCAGCACCAAAAGGACAGAAAACAACAGCAGCTGATTCTGCACCTGCTGCGCGGCGCAGCAGCGACGGGCTGAAGGATGCTGAAGGTGCAGCAGCAGGAGCAAGAGCAGCAGCAGCAGCAGCAGAGGGAGTGGTTGCTGCTGCAGCAAAAACAGCAAAGGCTGCTGCAACGGGTACCTCAGGGCAAGAAGGTGGGAAGCGTAGAGAGAAGAAAGCATCATCAGCAGCAGAAGGAGCAGCAGCAACTGTTGTAGAACCAGTAGTAACAGCAGCAGCAGCACCAACAGCAGCAGCAGCAGCAGCACCAGCAGCAGCAGAGGAAGAAGAAGAAGATGATGATGACGGCCAAGACCCTTGGGCCCCTGTGCTGTCTCCTGTAGAGGATGAGATACCCATCAGCAAACGAGGCAGCTGTAAGACTACACTTAGTGACTGCAGCAGCAGCAGCAGCAACTGGAGGGGTGATCTGCACAGGAGGTACACTAGCAGCACCGCAACAGACTCGCACCGGATCAGCAGCAGCAGCAGCAGCAGCTCCCGCAGCAATAGAGAGGGCATGCGTTCCTTTCCTGTGGGGCATATTGACTCATTAGAGATGAGCAGCAGCACTAGCAGCAGCAGCAGAGATGGCCGCAGCAGCATTGGCAGCAGTGTAAGGATAGATAGAAAGTTGGCAGGCAGCAGCAGCAGCAGCAAGGGCGGGTTTTGCTTATCTAGAGCCTCCTCATTCGAAGACAGTGCAGCAGCAGCAGCAGCAGCAGCAGCAGATATGGCGGACAATCGGGATCCTTGGCTCCCTATATCTGAGTCAGCAACAGGAGTCAACAGACACAGCAGCAGCAGCAGCAGCCGCAGAGACATGGGAGGTGTGGGCAGCAGCGGGACTCCCCATTCTCCTCGTGGTTTCCTATCGCAGCAGCAGCAAGAGCAGCAGGACCAGCAGCAGCAGGAATATGCTCGCAGCAGACGCAGCAGCTTCAGCAGCACAGAAGGACGGAGAGATTCTGCTGCATGCAGACAGTCTCCTCGCAGCCGATATCCTCGCCCTCCCCGTAGGCCTCAGGAGCAGCAGGAGCAGCAGCAGCAGCAGCATCATGAACAGGACCATCATCAGCAGCAACACCACCACCCTCACCATCAGCAGCAGCAGCAGCACCACTATCAGCATCAGCAGCAGCAGCCGCGGCGTTTAGGTATGATTTCTTCTATTACAAGTGGAGGTCGATCTTCCCCTTCCTCCTCTTCCTCTTCCTCCCCTTCTGCCTCTTCCTCCTCTTCTTCGTCTTCCTCCTCGTCTCCCTCTTCCTCTTCTTCCTCTTCATCCTCCTCTTCCTCTTCTTCCTCCTCCTCCTCCGTATTGCGTGTAGAGAGGAGACAGGGACACATGTGGGGTCTACCCTTACGACCAACCCCACATATGCACCACCTTCCTGCTGCAGATAATTGTTGGAGACGAAACGATCCCATCGATCCCAACAACCCCCCACCTTATAATGATTCTCCTCCTTGGGGTCAAGGGGGAGGGCCCCCAATACCTTCTCGTATGAGAGATTTACAGGAATATAGACCACTCAGAGGGGGCCCACATGGCGGCCCTCATGGACCCCATGGACCAGGGGGTGGCCCCCATGGGGGGCCCCATGGTGGACCCCATGGGGTCCCCCATGGGGGACCCCATGGACCGCATGGACCACATGGACCGCATGGTCCACACGGACCAGGAGGGGGGCCCCATGGTGGGCCTCATGGGCCCCATGGACCAGGTGGGGGGCCACATGGGCCTCATGGACCCCATGGACCCGGAGGGGGGCCGCATGGGGGGCCGCATGGGGGACCCCATGGAGGGCCCCATGGGCTGCCTCCTCTTCATGGATGTCATTCTGGCAACTGGGATATGATGCGGTCCTCAGCGCATGCGGCAGCAGATAGAGATAGAAGAATGGGTGGTGGGGGCCCGGGGGGCCCCGGAGGCCCTGGCGGCCCAGGGGGCCCTGGTGGGGGGCCCCCGTGGGATGAAGGATTTATGATGAGGGGAGGAAGAAGACCCACCTCGCCTCCGCGGTACAGACACCAGAGGCCCCACCCCTGGTAGAGTAGCAGCAGCAACAGTAGCAGTAGCAGCAGTAGCAGCAGCAGCTGCAGCAGCTGCAGCAGCAGGCAGCTGCTCCATTCACAACTATTGAAAGAAAACCGAACGGTTAATTAATTCCGACTTTTCCATTCATAAAGATTGGCCTCCTCGACTCTTGCTGTTGCTGCTTTTGCTGTTGCTGCCGTTGCCGTTGCTGTTGCTGCTGCTGTTGCTGCTGCTGCTCCTGGTGGCTTTATACACTCGGCAATGCGCGGATTGGAACCGAGCTATCCACCCGTTGGCACAACGTAGCTGCAGGAGTAGCAGCAGCAGTAGCTGCAGTATTAGTAGCTGCAGTAGCTGCAGGAGTAACAATAGTAGGAACTGCAGTATTAGTACTAGGAGCAGACGTAGGAGCAGGAGCAACACCTCCTAGGGTTTAAGTTTAATATCTAGGGTTTTCGTCAATGGCCTAAGTTTCGTGACTAGGGTTTAGGGTTTGGTGGGTGCTCGTGCTTGTGGTGGCGGGGACTTGTAGAGGGTCTGTATGACATTTGTTCATCAACAAACCCTAAACCCTAAACACTAAGATCACATATTCATAGAAGGAGTGTGTATTCCTAAAGCCTAAACCCTCGCCAGCAACAAATGCCTTCGGCTCAAGGCGTCGGGACGCTGGGGGCCCAAACACTTAACCCTAGAAAGTAAACCGTAAACTCTGAACCCTAAACCCTAAAAATTAAGCCATAAACCCCAAAAGGGTTGCATCTATTTATCCATTTATATAATTATCTAAAGAGTTAGGGAATGTGTGAACGCCTGATTCTCCTGGACTCTAGCCATTAGGTTTGTGCTGGGGCTGAGGGGGGCCCCCAGGGACCCTCTTAAGGAAATCTTTGTATTTTTTATTTGTCTTCCTTAAATAGAAAAAGGGGGTTCAGTTTGGTGTTTAATATGCAGGATTTATTGTTTAACCCTTGGCTACATATTCTAGGGTTTGGGGTTTAGGGTTTAGTGTTTGGGGCTTCGATCCTGCGGTAAAGTCCGCTACTTCCTATAGACCCCAAGACCTCATCAGCCCATATATACAGCAGCCGTTGCAATAAAGAAATCAGCAACCGCAGCATAAGCAACAGCAGCATCAACTGCAACGGGAGCAGCAGCAGCGGCTGCTGCTGCTGCTGGGATGGAGGGTTGTTAAAACAGCTGTAGCTGGCGGTTCCATCAGTTGCTGCGGCTGCTACAGAGGCAGCAGCAACTTGTGCTGCTGCATCTGTAGACGCCGCTGTTGCAGTTGTTGTTGCAGTTCCTTCTGCAGATCCTGCTGCTGCATTTGCTGCTGCTACGACGACGCGATGGCATCACCGGGCATTAAGCGATGTGACCCTCCCGCTGCAGCTGCAGCTGCAGGAGCAGCATCAGCAAGAATTGAGTTGGAGTGTACAGACAGGTGTGTTTGTTCAAGTCATTTATTTGATGTTTGCTTCCATCCTACAAACCCGAAATTAGTTGCTGCTGCAGCATTTAATGGGACTGTTGAGCTGCATGAAATACCTGAGAAGGAAGTGCTGCAGCAGCACCTGCAGCAGCAACAGCAGAAGCGAGACATGGAGAAAGAGGTCAAAAGGCAGCAGCGACGCAAACTACGCAAGCAGCAAAAGGAGGAGGAGGAGCAGCAACGGGATGCCGATGATGGAAGCACAAGCAGCAGCAGCAGCAGCAGCGATTCTTCAGATGAAGAAGCCCCCGAGCGTTTCTTAGAAGCAGATTTAGAGTGTTTACCCACACGAATCAAGACCCTAAAACATCACAAAAAATCATGCAGGGCTGTAAACTTCTGGAGGGGAGGAGAAGGTAATACCCCCAAACCATAAACCCTAAACCATAAATTGCAGTTTCAGCAGGTCAAATTTTCTTGACGGGTTCAAATTTTTCTGCTCATTTAAAGCTCAAACGTTTAACGTGTAGGGTTTAGGGTTTAGGGTTTCTTTGTTTACAGCGGTTTTAACAGCGTCAGCTGATGGCCGATGCTGCATCGTAGATGTGGATTCTGGGAAGTGGACTTGGCGATCTCTCCACAGCAAGTAAGGGTTTAGGGTTTAGGGTTTCGGGTTTGTTCGTTGTTGATTCCCTGCTGCCGGCTTCGTTTGCGCTTTGCAATTTAGGTTTTTTCAGCTGGTTTTTAAGATTTAGGGTTTAGGGTTTAGGGTTTGCGTTGCAGGTCGGGTTTTGAAACGATTACCTCGATTTGTAGAAACACATTTGCTGCAGCAGACGAAAATGGAAAAATTTCTTTGTGGGACGAACGGCAGAAAATGCCGACAAAGATATTTCCCCCCGAAATGCCAGGAGTATCCTGTAAGCGACGGTCTAGGTTCTATCGAAGGTTTAGGGTTTAGAATTTGGGGTTTAGGCTTCGGGCTTATACAGCTATGGTGTTACTATAACTCTTGTGTCGATGCGCGTGGTGGTTCTTGTGCTGCTCCCACTGCTAAGAAATTCTTCATGTAAAGTTTAGGGATTAGGGTTTTGGCTTTGTGGTTTAGGCATGTGCCACTCTTCAAGTCTGCTGCTGACAACGGGGTGTGGCTATTTGACGGTTTTCGATCTAAAAAAAGGAAAATTGAGGGCGCGAAGCGATGAGCTCGAAGCGGACTTCACCAGTGTCGTTAGAGCTAAAGTAATTCCTGTGCCGTATACCCGAAACCGTAGAACTTAAGCCTTTAAACTTACTGGACTAGCAAGGCCTTTGTCGTGGCGTCAGCGTCTAGGGTTAAGGGTCTAATGTTTAGGGTTTGCGCTCATTCAGGAAGGCTCGAAGGTTTGCTGCGGTTGCGAGGAGGGGGATATCTGCATGTTTAGTTGGGGAGATTTTGGAGACTTTAGTGACAGATTTACAGATATTCGTACGGGAGTTAATTCCCTGGTGAGCTTCTGGGGTTTAGGGTTTAGGGTTTGGGTTGCAGGCAGCTGCATGTGTGAAGATTAACACATTGGAGGAGCGTCTTAAGCAACAGCGGCAGCGGGAACATCGGCAGCAGGGGAGGGTTTAGTGTAGTACAGACTGAGGGTTTAGGGTTTAGAGTCCGACAGATTGCGGGCTTAGGGTTAGGTGTTTTGTGGAGCAGGTAAAGTTTGACGAAGATACTCTTATCGCGGGTTGTGGCGACGGATGTATTCGCGTAGTGCAACTTCATCCCAACAGACTTGCAGGTGCGGATTAGGGTTTAGGGTTTGAGGTTCAGTTTGGGTGGCGATATTTGGGGTCATGTGTTATATGTTCTCTAGGGTTTAAGCTTCACCTTTTAGTGTTTAATGTATCTGTATTAAGGTCTAGTGTTTAGTGTTTGGCGTTTAGTGTCTACGGTTTAGTGTATAGGGTTTGTCATGCAGGGATCCTTGGGGGGCACGGTCGGCGCGACGGGCCTGTTGAGCGACTGGCACTAAATGCTGACCAAACTCTGCTAGGTTGGTGCTTAGGGTCTAGAGGGTAGCCTAAGGGTTTTGCAGCTGGTGTCGTCTTTTGGCATGCGTCCTGGGGAAACTAGGGTTTAGGGCTTATGGTTGAGAGTGCGCTGCAGCCTCAATTGCCCACGACAATCGCATTCGTCTCCATGAGGCGCAGAAGGCGGTGCGAATGAAGACCAAAGTTGTCCGCCGGCTTAAGAAAGTAAACCCAAAACCTTAAACCCTAAGCCCTCCACCAGACGGCTAAACAGAAAGCCCCAAACCCTAAACTCTCAGCGCTTGTTTCTGCTGCGGGTTTTGCATTCTTTTGCAGTCGCAGCAACCTCAACATGACATGCGCGCGGGAAAAGACTTTTACGACGACCTGTAAACCCTTATTTAGGGTTTAGGGTTTGGCGTCGCCGTCAGCTTTCTTCCCTCGCTACCTGCACACTGCATACATAACTTGGCAGCAAACCCTCCAGCTAGCTAGCTAGCTAGTTAGCTAGCTAGCTATGTGCCCACTTGGAGCTCCAGCTAATTACCGTCTCAGCTAGACACTGGTTTAGCAAGCTAGCTTCTTAGCTAGCCACCCATCTCTCTATGGCTAGCGACTAGCTACCTGCCTAGCTATATGGCTAGCTAGCAGACAATATAGTGAGTGGTTTTGTTTGGCTTGTAAAGCCCGATAATAAATTTGAAGTCAAAATGAATGTCATCTTCCCCCCTATGCTTTTTTTGTTGTTGCTGCTGCTGTTGTTGCTGCTGCTGTTGCTGCTGCTGCCGCACTGCAGCAGCATTTGCCCCACACCGGCGTCATTTTTGCATAGGGGAGATATGCTATTTATTTGCATAAATAATATAAACGTAAACGTAAATATAAATAACAAATATCAATAATAAATAATAAATATAAATATAAATTTATTTTTATATTTATATTTATTGTTTACTCTTTGGCTTGCGATTGCACTGCCCTTTAAAACACACATATCAGTCAAAGGAGAAACCTGCTGCTGCTGCTGCTTCTGCTGCTGGTGTCTCTCCTCCTGCTGCTGTTGCTGTTGCTACTGGTCTTGCACCTGTTGCTGTTGCTGTTGCTGTTGCTGCTTATGCTGCTGCATCAGCGGCTACCCCGTTGTTCTTCTTCTACTGAGTGCCTCCTAGGGAGCCCTTTGGCTCTTACGATATCTCTGCCGTCGTTGCAGCCAGACACCTTTCGTAAGGAGACTGCAGCAGCAGCGCAGCAGCAGCAAAAGCAGAGCAGCAACAGGGAAAGCACAGTGACAGTTGGAACGAATGCACAGCATAGAGAAGAGTTTGAACAGCAGCAATCCTCATCAACAGAAAAAGCAGCAGCAACAGCAGCAATAGCAGTAAACGCAGCAACAGAACCAGCAACATCAATAGAAACAGAAACAGCAGCAGCGGCAAAAGACGCAACAACAAAGGCAGCAGTAGCAGCAGGAACAGCAACAGCAGCAACAGCAGCAGCAGCGGGAGGAGGAACGTACGTATATCAGCAGAAGTGGGGTTATAAGGGTATCCAGGAACAGTGAGTATCTCTGCACCATTGGGGTGTCTTGACAGCTGCATATGTAATTGTTTAATACTGCATGAAGTTTTTTCTATATTTCCTTTTTTATATTTTCCTTCTTTTTTTCCTTTTTGTCTGTTTAGTGCCTCCGCTACCTCAAGGAAAGGGGGCTCGAAACAAGCCTCACGGATACGTTCCCATGTGCACAAGCTCCTGCAGCAGCAGCAGCACAAGCAACAGTACCAGAAGTAGTAGTAGTAGTAGCAGAGATGGGGACAGGAAAGGGATGTACAGGGGGGCACAGATACAGAAAGCAGCAGAATATACACCGGCTGCTGGACGAGCAGCAGCAGCAACAACACCAACAGCAGCAGCAACGACAAGACCAGCAACGGCACACGAAAACAGCAGCATCAGCAACAATAACGACAAACTAAAAAAGCAAACAACGAACAAAACAAACAAAAAAAAACACACAAACAGACACACACACACACACACACACACACACACACAGCAGCAGCAGCAGCAGCAACAGCAGCAGCAGGAGCAGGAGTTGGTTGCTTACTGTGTCCATGGGTTAGTTTGTGCAAGGAAGTGTCTCCATGTTTGTTTGAAGAGTGTCTCCTTTGCTGCAGTCCATGGTAATTTGCTGCGTTGTTTAGCAGCAAATAAAGTATTAAAAGGAGACATTTTATGTTTATAATGATTATGTTTAATAACAAGTGTCTCCTTTAATGCAGCAAGACGTAGAGAAGATAAAAATTGCTGTCTTTTTTTTATTGATTCATGGGATACAATTGTATCCTGTGGCTTAATTATAAATTCTGCTGCTGTAGACGAACTAAATATAAATCCTGTTGTGCCTGCCTTTAATGCACATGTTGCTGCTACATCTAATGGATATGTTGCTGCTGCTGGTAAAAATAAACCATCACCATCTGATGCGCATGCTGTACTGACACCTTCCTGCTGCTGCGGCTCTTCCTGCTGTTGCTGCTGTTGTTGGTGTTGCTGCTGCTGCGCTGAAGAAGAAGAAGAAGGAGGATGCTCCGTTACCACAGCGCTATCCCAGTCTATCTGCGAGCAAAGACAGCAGTAGCACATAGATGCCATCAGCAACAGCAGCAGCAACAACAGCCACAGCAACAGCAACAGCACCAACAGCAAGGGCAGCAGCAGGAAGCTGACGTTGATGGAAACATGACGCGTCTTAATTGCTGGGTTGTCTCTTTCTGATACAACTTTCCATGTCCCCTTTAGACTCCACTCTGTACACCACAAAATACACCACCAAACCCTAAACCCTAAACCCTAAACCCTAAACCCTTGGCGAACGGCTATCCATTATTCTCCCCCCAAAGTCTACTACGTGCTCTTTCCCGCAAGACAGATAGAAGTCCCCCTCAATATAGCTAGCTCCCTGTCTAGCTGTATCCAGCTGTGTGCTTAGCTAGCTACAGCTAGATATTTGGGTAGCAAGACGTCCAGCTATCTGTCCGTCTGTTTGTCCGTCTGCTTGGCTAGCTAGCTATCTGTGCATCTAGCTAACAAGCTACCCAGCCAGTTTGCTAGCTACCCAGCTAGCTAGCTAGCTAGCTTCCTAGCTCTGTGTGCGTCTTACCTCTACGTAGGGCTTCTGGGGGACATCCTGTTTTGGAGTCGAACTCTTTGCGGTGTATAGACACCGTAGGAGGGTTGACATGAAAGGTACGAACCTCCACAACGTGTTGCTGCTGCTGCGGTAACCATTGGCATGTTTCATATGTTGCTGTTTTTCCTGCTGCTACTGCTGCTGCTGCTGGGGATGAAGCAACAGCGGGGTTTAAAGAACTGTCCGCGTCGCTATAAATACTGCCAGCGGCTACACCCTCGAATGCAGGGGACTCCGGTAAAGTCTACACACGCAAACAATAAGCCTTAAACCCTAAACCCTAAACCCTCATGCTCCACCACCATGCCGATAAAACAATAAACCTTATAAAACCCTAATCCCTGACGTCTGCTGCTTAAGTACCCCTCAAATGCCCCAAAAACTAAACCCTGCAGCCTAGACCACTTTCTAGTCTGACGCTGTATTATTTAGGGTTTAGGGTTTAATTTAGGGTTTAGGGTTATAGGCGTTTTACCTGCCAAGTCCCACATAACATAGGAAGAGGTCCTGCTTCTCCATATTCAGGTAGAGACCCTGTTGTTTCTTCTTTTAAATGTGTTTTTAATTCTTTTAAACTTTTCTGCATTCTCCCCTCTAATGCTTCTAGATGAGGAGGTAAAGGATGCCCTACAGATGTAACATGTTTAGCTCGTGATGCTCCTCTTTCTGCTTCTCCTGCTGCAGGCGCTGCTGCTGCTGCTGCTGCTGCTGCTGCTGCAGGTGCTGCTTCTGCTGATGCAGGTGATGATTCTGCTGATGCAGGTGCTGCTTCGGGAGTTGCAGCAGGAGCCTCGGTTTCGCGATGCGAAAATCGGGCTTCTTCTTCTTCAGCAGCAGCAGCTGCTGCTGCGTCTGGTGAGTTTGTTGCAGGGTCTGCTGCATCCGGTTGCTGCTGCGCAAAGGAAGGGTAAAAAAAGGGGGCATGACCTGCTGCTGCGTTAACCTTGTTCTGCTGCAGCACCATGGGCAGCCTTTGCTGCAGCACGTGCTGCTTCTGCTGCAGCAAGGACACTCCCATGTCTGCCTCCACTGTAGGAATTTCAAAGTGAGAAAATCCCCGCGAAGCACGCTGGCCTACACACACATCCAAACCCTAAACCCTAAACCCTAAACCCTAAACCCTAAAATATACAACATAAGCAATTCCAGTTGTATCTCACACTCGGAACAATAAACCGGTACAGATTAACCTGGGCTTGCCTTTGCTGAGCTGTAGATCTAGGGTTTAGGGTTTAGGGTTTTCGGATCTACCCATACCTGTCAGGTGCACCGATACAATGGGGGATGGCAGCAGCATCGCTGCTGCTGCTGCTGCTGCCGCAGCAGCAGCAGCAACAGACTGAACCCCCCAAACCATCTGAAAGCCACAGAAAAAAGTAAACAGAGATTGGCTTTCAGCTGCGCCTTCCTCAGAGTTGGGATTTAGGGATTAGGGTTTAGGGTTTAGTACTCACGACTTTCCAAACCCTTCAATATATTCTGCTCTTTCAGATACAAGAAGGTAGCAATAAAACGTCTTGCTGCTGCTGCTCTTGTTGCTGCTGCCTCCGCTGCTGCTGCTGAAGTTGCTGCTGCAGCGCGATCCGCATATAGGGGAATGGGCTACGGCCTGGGCTTGGGAAGACTCCTCGACCGATCCAACATAAGGGTTTAGGGTTTAGAGTTTGGGGACTGTGGTTTAGGGTTTAGGCTCAGCTGGACCATCCGCTGGCTTCCTCAGCATCTGCAGGTGTCTAGGCGTTGCCGTGGGAACTCTAGGGTTTAGGGTTTAGGGCTTAGAGTTTATGGTTTAATGATGCTTTGAAGAAGGAAACTAAAGAAAGGAGACGGACAGTCGAAGAGAGACACAAGGTAGAGACGGTCTCCTCGCCTCTGGGCTCCAACGGTCTACACAGCGGCTGCTGCTGCTGCTGCTGCTGGTGCCGCTACTGGTAACCTAAGATTGACGAGAAAACAATAGTCTAGTTAGAGCTTCTTATAGGATTTCAACACACAGTCCGCAGCAGCAGCGCCAGAAGCAACGGCAGCAGCAGCAACGGCAGCCTCAACAGCAGCAGCTCACCGGCAGCAGCAGCAGCAGCAAGACTTCGGCGGCGCCGCGCAGACAAGCAGCAGCAGCAGCAGCGGGGGCGCTAGTGCCAGCTGCTGCTGCACTAAAGATTACCTTATATTATTTTAAATACTCTTTAATTATATTAATTACAACTATGAAATAAATGGCAGGTTGTCAGTGCGTGGCATAATCTCAACAGCGACGACACAGCAGCAGCAGCAGCAGCAGACGCTTAACAGCAGCTTAGCAGCAGCAGCAACAGCAGCAGCATCGGTCTTCTAAGAGGAGAGTTGTCGTTCTACAGCATGCGCTTAGCCTTTCCTAGTGTCTGGGCAGCAATTGGTTAAACCCTCTGCTCTCCTTGTAGCAAGCCCCCAAACCCTTAAGCCTAAACCCTATACCACGGAGGACGCCGGTGGTCTTTACATTCTGGTCATTCCCAACCAAAGCTGCAGCGGCAGCTGTAGGCTGCTGCCGCACTACAGCAGCAGCTGCTGCTGTAGCATTTGAGTGGTTGGCGGTCGCCATCGTTGCTGCTGCTGCTGCTGCGGCTGCGGTAGCTGCTGCTGCATCTCCTGCTGCAGCAGCTGCTGCCATCTCTGTAGGCGCATGCACACCTCATGACGGAAACCACCGCAGTCCTCGCCTCCACCAGAAGAAGCAGAACTTTCTCTCTTCCCCCCGGTTGGCCTTCGCTAGACCTTAAACCCTAAAGTGTGGGTAGACCGTATCGGCAAGGCGCCTAAGTAAGAGACGCCTGCGGACAGGGTAACGGCACCCGTAGCAGCAATAGCAGCAAGGGCAGCAGTAGCAGAAGCAGCGGATATAAATCACATCAATCAGAGCAGCAGTAGCAGCAGAAGCAGCAGCCGCGTCATCAGAAGCATCCGTAAACAACAATGACTGCAGCAGCAGCAGCAGCAGCAGCAGCAACTGGGCGCTCCCTCTTCTTTCCTGGCATCGTCCCTCCTCTGCAGCGTCGTCTGCTGCAGCTGCCTCTGCCAGAAAGAGCAAAGAATTTTATCGGTAAACCCTAAACACCAAACCCCAATTCGTAGACCCTCGATCGTTCAGGTTGCTGTACTTGCTACTGCCTAGCAAAATGTGCCACCCACAGCAGCAGGTCTAGCAGCAACAACATCAGCAGCAGCACCAACGGCAGCAACAGCAGCAGAAGGATTGTGATTTGTGCTGCATGCAGGTCATCCTGCTGGTCCTTTTACAATTCATTTTTGGGCTCCAACATTTAAATGGGGAATTTCGATTGCAAATATTATCGATATGATAGATAAAGATGTGTCAGGTGTATCCCCAGCTCAACAAACAGGTGCGCTGCTGCTGCTGCTGCTGCTGTTGCTGCTGTTTATGCTGCTTGTGCCGGTGTTGTTGGTGTTGGTTGTGGTGGTGGTGCTGCTGCTGGTGCTGATGCCGCTGGTGATCCTGTCGCTGTTTCTGCGCTTGGTCCTGCTGGTGCTGTTGCTGCTGTTGCTGTTCTGTACGGCTTACTGTGGCCTGTTGCCGTGTGTTTGCTGCTGCAGCGGTAGCAGCAACTGGGATTATATGGTCAAGATATAGTATGGTTATTACCCCCAAGAACTGGAACCTCTTCAGTGGTAAACCCTAAACCCTAAACCCTACACCCTCAACCAATAGGGATGCGAATGCGTACACCACAAATCCCCACATGACTCCTACGGCATCTAACCCTAAACCACAAACCCTAAACACCAGACATGACTAACCAAACATTCAGAGCAATAAAAGGTGCTGCACACAGCGCTCGAAGACAGCAAGAGTTCCTCAGCTGTTAAGGGGCCTCAAAGTATGTTAGGCCTTAAGGCTTAGTGTTTACTGAGGTGTATTTTATTTGCAGTGAATGTGGCGATGGCACTGACCGGCTGCGTACAGCTTGCACGCATTGCCCTTAAGAACTTCCAAAACAGCAGCAGCAGCGGGAGCAACAGCAGCAGCGCAACTGCACCGGCTTAAGGCTGATGCTTCCGTGTTGCTGGGCCAGCAGCAGCACAAACGGCATCACAAGGTGGCAGGTGCTGCAGCAGAAGCAATGGCAGCAACACAAGCCGCAGCGGCAAGAGCAGTAGCTGCTGCAGCAGCTGCTACAGCCACACAACAGGAGCAGCAGCCCTACACTATCAGGTATTAAAGAAAGAAAAACATTTTGTTAGCTGCTGCTGCTGCAAATAAAGCAGCAGCAGGCGTTTGAATAGCTGTTTATTGGTTGTAGGGAGACGATACCAGCTGCAAAAATCGACCCCAGCAAGCTAGAAACGATCCCAGGCAGAGCGTCTGTTCCATGGGATACGATGGCAGCTGAGGAATAAAAACGATACCAGCTGGGGAGACGATCCCAGCTGAGCGGAGACAATCCCAGCTAAGGAAATGCCGACCCGAATGCACAGACAATCTCTGACGTGGAGGAAATCCCACCACAAAAGCGATCCCACCACACCGGGCGATCCCAGTGAGCTTTGGGGACAATCCCAGTTCTGGGGAGACGATCCAAGCTAGGGAGACGACCCCAGCTGATGAGACGATCCAAGTTAGGGGGAAGACTATCCCAGTTCTAGGGAGACGATCCCAGCAGGGGAGACGATCCCCCGAGTGCAGCAGGAGACAGCAGTCAAGAGTCGTTAAGAGGAGACAGAAGGACAACAGCGTCTCCTCTAACAAATATGAGAGGGAGCTTCCTAACAGTTTTCTGTAAACAGCACAAACCCCAAACCCTAAAGCTTAAACCCAAACCCTAAACCCTCGACAGGAGCACTTGGCCCGCTATATCTAAACCACCCTGCGACAGAGTCTAAGATTTAGGGTCTGCGCTGCAGCCGGGAATCTAGGGTTTGGGGTTTACCGATAGTTTGTTGTTCTCATCCACTACTGTGAGGGTCTCCTCGGCATTGGCGAGCACCAAATTTAGGTGGACATCGTATGACTAAAACACAGGACAAGCAATTAGCGTTTAGGGTTTACATCGGATTAGGATTTAGGAATTTGGGGCTGTTGTGAGGGTTTAGGTGGGCTAGGTACTTAGGGTTTGCCTTTAGGACAGTAATCGAAGCAGCAGAAACAGAGCAGCAGCAGCTACAACAACGAAAAAAGAAATAACAACCGAAACAAGTACAACAGCAACGGCAATAGCAGTAGACGCTGCTGCTGCTGTAGTGGGGGAAATTCCTACGTGCAAGGTCCCTTTGAGTTGTCTCTCTCCTCTGCACTTAACGAAGACCTTCTCCTCCATAGAAAGGCGGGCTATGTCCAAAGGCTCTGCAGGATCAGCGACAGCAGCAGCAGCAACAATAACGGCAGCATAAACAGTCGGGCTTGGACCACACACAGTTGGTGCTGCTGCTGCTGCACCAACTGAAGCAACTGCTACAGCTTAAACTGCAGCAGACGTGACAGCTTCAGCAGCAGCAGATCTTCCATACGCCACAGAAGGCAATAGCGAAGCCCGCCGATGCTACTGCTGCTCGAATTCTTCCTGTTGTTGTTCCAGCTGCTATGCTGCTTGCATGCGCTGCAGCGCTTGCTACTGCTGCTGCTCTCTTGCTGGTGCTGGTGCTGCGGCTATTGCTGCTGCCGCTGCTGTTGCTGCTACTACGAGGCATCGTACCTTGCAGCATCTGTGAATTTTTCATCTTGGAGGGAAGAAACAGGGACTGATCTCTTAGGGTTGGAGGTTTAGGGCCTGAGGATGGCGATTTGGGTTTAGGGTCTAGGGCTTAGGGCTTCGGGGTTGCAGAAGCAAGCTTCCAGTCGGTTTCTGAAGAAGAGCAAAAAATTCATTCAACGAAACAAATTCATGGTATGAAGCAGCCATCCTGGTTGTACGACCGCTGCTAATGCTGCTACTGATGCTGCTGCTGCTCTCGTTGCATGCATCAGGAAGCCTCTGGGGTCCACCGCAGCAGCAGCACTGCTGCACCAATGTGTGAAATAGCCGGAGATTATACTCATCTTTATGGGAACAACAATAACAACGGATATTGTTAAAGACAAACAGTAGCAACAGCAGGAGCAGCAGCTGCTGCAGCAGGAGCAGGAGCAACACCACCTGTCGGCTGCCCTACACAGTAGCAAAATCTTAACCCAAAGTAATATGCTTGAAACCCTTCTTAATCATTCTCTTTAAACACGTGCTTGTGTATCCTCAACTGCAAGCCTGAGCCTGAAACCCTTTTTAAACCCTCTATAGGCACGGTCTTGGACCTGCCTCAATCGGGAATCGGCAGCACCAGCAGCAGCTGCAGCTGATGCTGCAACTGTAGGTATTCGGTGCAGTACCACACGTAGAGTAACAGGGCCCAGTATACACAGCAGCAGCCGCAGCCCCTGATGCTGCAGTAGGTCACTAGGAAAATGCCGCCTGAGGAGGCAAGTGCCGCAGCCGGAGATGCTGCTGCCTGTCATCAGAAGCAGAAGCAGCAGCAGGGAAAGTTCGTGCGGTTGCTCGCGGAAAAGGGGAAAGGCGACTTGGCTCTTGTCAACACCGTTTCAGGTACTAAGCCCTAAGCCCTCAAGAATAGAATGCAGTTTCAGTTCGCCCCTAGACAGGCGTTTAAGCGTAAAGCTTAAAGTATAAGCGTTTGGATTTATGGCTTGTGGTTTAGGGTTTGTGTTTTCTGCAGGCGATGCTTACCCTCCTACTGGAAATTTCCCCCTGCCAGCCACAGTAGACAGCAGCAGCAGCAGCCGCAGCCGCGGCAGCAGCAGCACCTGTAAGGCCTACTCCATACTGCCTCCAGCATTTCGAGCAGCTTCTACACAAACCCTAAACATCTGCTTCCCCGGTGTATCCTGGGCGGGTTTGTGCTCACCAGCAGCAGGACAAGCAGCAGCAGCTGCTGCAGAAGTGGGGAGAGAGTTTAACCGACGTGTTGATGCTTCTGCTGATCCTGCAAGACACACGTGGATCCTTGTTCACATGCAGCAGCAGCAACAACAGCAGCAGCAGCAGCAGGCAGTTGCTTGCGGGGCTCGTGAATCTGCGTGGTCGCCCAAATCTTGCTCCTCGAGGGCAGCAGCAGCAACCCCAGATGCAGCAGCAGCAGCAGCATCAGCAACCCCCGGCTGCTCCCTTACTACCCGTCAGGCCCTATTCTTGCAGCAGTGGCGCTGCAACATTGCTGCACTGCTGGAGGCGCAACGCTTGCCTGAGGTGCTGCAGCAGCAGCTGGCTGCCTCAGCAATAGCAACAACAGCAACAGGAGCAGCAGCAACCACAGCAGAAGCAGAAGCATCGCCTGCACCTACTCTAGCGACTGCGCAGCGGCAGCTGCAGGCAGCGAGACGGAACATTGCCTCTCGCTATGCCTTCCTTGTAGAAGAAAGCCGACAGCAGCAGCAACAGCAGCAGCAACAAAAACAGCAACATCCCTGTCCGTCAGCCAACAGCAACAGCAACGGCAACAACAGCAGCAGGACCCCAGAGGAAGCGCAGCTGGCTGGATGGCATTGGCCTTCGACGTTGCTGCAGCAGCGGGAAACAGCAAAGTCTCTAGATGCCGCACTAGCGCAGCAAATCAGAAACCAAAGAGTACATCTGCTGATGATGCCGCTGCTGCTGGTGTTGTTGTTGCTGCTGTTGTTGCTCCTGCTGCAATTGCTTTGCTACTGCGGCTGCTGTGGCTGTTCTTGCTGCCGGGGCTGTTGTAATTGCCGCTGCTGCACGTGCAGTTGCTGGTTCAGGCGCTTCTGCAGTGCCGTCAGCTGTTGATGCAGTTGCTGCAGTTGCTGCAGCAGCATCCAGAGGGCTTTGGCTGCATCTGCGGGGGCTCGAGACTCTGTTGCCTCATTGCTAATATGTAATCTGGTGTTGCTGCTACTGCAGGCTGCCCAGCGCCAGCTTGCGTCGAGGACCCACAAGTTGCCCCGTCTCCTGTGGCGCCTTCTTGCAGAAGCGAAAGAAGTAGGAGGAGCTGCAGCAACAACAGTCCCAGCGGCAGCCACAGCAGCGGCAGCTGCTGCTGTTCCTGTTGCTAGTCTACAGCAGCGTAAAGGGAGCAAGCTGCAAGAGTAGCAACAGCGGAGAGTGAAAAAGGCCTAGTTGTAAGGTGAACAAGTTTGCGAACTGCAACTCCTTCCGCTTTTCTTGCTCCTGCTACTGTTGTTGCTGCTGCTACTGTTGCAGGTCGAGAGGCAGCAGCGCATCGTGCTGTATGAGCAGAGCTCGCGGGTGTACGGACGGCGGGACCTCTTTGCAGACTGGAGCGGCGAGCACCACCGCATGCGTCGAGCGTTTGTGCTGCAGCTGCAGCAGCAGCAGCAGGTGCTGCAGCAGCAACAGCAGCAACAGGTTAAGCAACTGCAGCAGGAACTCGATCGCTATCGACTAAAAGTGCAGCAAAAATCAGAGACAAACAGAGAAGACAGAAAAAAAATGGAAAAGCAGCAAAGCGAGTTGAGGGCTCTACAAAGAAGACTCCATAAAAAGAAGTGCGCACACAGTCCTGCTGGCGGTGGTGCTGCTGCTAGTGCTACTTTGCTGCTGCAGCACTGCCCCTTGTACGCCACAGTAGCAGCAGGAAGGTGCCGACAGCAGCAGGGCAACGCCAGCGCAATGATGCTGCTGGCGTTGTTGTTATTGTTGTCGTTGTTGCTGTTGCCGCACGGCGTTTGCATTGTTTAATGCCGCTTGTTTTCATGTGCTGTTCCTCTCTAGGCAACAGCAGCAGAAGCGCCGCCTGCTGCTACTCCACATCAAGAGGCAGGCAGCTCCGTTGCTTCTGCGGCAACCAAGGCAGCAGCAGCAGCAGCAACAGCAGCAGCAGGTGCACTTGCTGCAACAGAGACTCGAGCAACAACAGCAGGCCCTTGATAACGCCTTGGCGCTGCTCATACAAACCCAACAAGTCTTAGAGGACTCAGCCTCCTCCTCTGATGCTGCTGCTGCTGCTTCTGCGCGGCAGCAGCAGCAGCAGCGTCTGCAGCAGAGGCTGCAGCAGCAGCAGCAGCTTCAGCAAGAGCAAAGACACTCACAACATGGCCAGCTTCAGCAGCAGCACGTGCAGCCTCACGAGCAGCAGCAGCAGGAGCAGCTGCTGCTGCTGCAAATGCACCAACAGCAACTGCAGCAGCAGCAAAAACGGGTATCTAGCAGCCTCGGAGGTGAGCCGCAAGTAGGGAGAGGTACTCGCTGAGTAGCTGCTGTTGCTGCCATATGGCTTAGGTTTCAGGGCTTATGCGTTAGGGTTTAGGACTTAGTTATGGTGAATGCAGACTCGTCCGCCAGGGTCCCGCCGCTAAAGCGTCGCTGCAGCGCAGCACAAGACACTGCGCAGCAGCAGGAGCAGAAGCAGCAGCGAGAAGAGAAACTCATGAGACATGCCGGATCAGATGCAAATGGGAAATCGGCTGCAGTGGCTGCTGCAGCTGCTCCTGGAGCAAGCCATCTGCCGCCGAGCAGTATGCGACTGGTGATTCGACCCATGAATGTTGGTGCTGCTGCGTCCGAACAGCCGCAACAGCAACAACAGCAGGAGCCATTCACGGCGAACATGCTGGCATTTACTGACCGCTGCGGCAGCTTGAGGGATCAACACCAGGGACAGCAGCACCACCACCACAACCACCTGCGACAGCAGCAAGAGCAGCAGCAGGTTTCAACATCATCAGCAGCAAACTATCATCTGAAGCAAAACCTGGAGAGTACTAGCATGATGATGGAAGTTCGTCTACACCCTAAACCCTGAAACTGAAATGATGGCATCTCGTGAATCGGCAGATCCTACTCCATCAAGGAGTTGCCTTGCTGCTGCACATTTGCTGCTTCTGACTCGCTGCTGCTGCTGCTGCTGCTTTACGGAAGCGTCGGTGCTGCTGCTGTTGCTTTGCAGCTGATTCCTTCCTCCTGATGGTGTTTTGCTGCTGCTCAGGAAGAGCAGCCGCTGTGCTGCAGCAGCGGCAGCGAGAAGGGATCTTTGCTGGCGCCCTCCACGTCGGCTGTTGCTGCTGCTGCTGTAGCAGGAGATACCGGCCTTTTGCAAGACGTTACAGCAGATCCAGAAGGAAGCAGCTGCGCCAATCATTACATGCAGGCCGACACAGCTGCAGCAGCAGGATCTGCTGCTGCAGCAGCTGCTGCTGCTGGTGGAGCAGGCAGCGTAAATGGCACTGCAGCTGCAGCGAGCGATTCCTGGGATCGTCTTCACCACGCCAACAGCAGCAGTAGCAGCAACGGTGACTTTGAGAGCGACAGCCAGAACAGTTGGCACGAGAGCGGTAGCGACAGCAACAGCCGCAGCAGCAGCAGCAACGGCAGCAGCACCAGCAGCAACAGCAGCAGCACCAGCAGCTGGCGCAGGGGCGCTGCTTCCGGGCCGCTGCTTGCAAACGCTGAAAGAGCAGCAGCAGCAGCAACAACAGCGGGAGCACCGGCAATAGGGAAATACTCGGCGCTTCTGAGTGCTGCAGCAGCTGCTGGAGGCCTCAGTGGAGAGGCGTTGCAGCAGCTGGCTTGGCTTGACGAGAGACGTGCCGACAGAACGTAAACCCTAAACCCTAATTTAACCCTAAACGCTAAACCTCAGAAAAACCCTTGACCGTGAGGAAGCCCCCCATGTGCAAGGCCAGTGGCTCCAATCCAGATTACATGCTTTGTCTTCGAAAGATAACTGTCTCAACATATGGTTTAGGGCTTAGGGTTTAGGGATTAGGGTTGGTTTCGCAGGGTGGTTCCCCCTAGCCAAGATCCTTACCGAGACGGTTCCCTCTTCACAGAGTGTTTACACCTAGAGGTGGGTGGCTAGGTTCCCAAGTGTTTTCTATTAGGGTTAAAGGTATGTATTTCAGGGTTTAGGAATTCGGTTTGGGATTTGTGTTTCCGCAGACGTCACTCTTCTCGCTGCTCCGCCTGGCCAGTACCGACAGCCCGCCTCCTGACATTGTGGCCAATATTCTTCAGGTGAGGCCTAAACCGTATTTGTAAACCCCAATTCTAAAGGTTGAACCCCAGCCTTTAAGCGTAACCCCAAAACCAGACAAAACGTAGATCCGCAGAGAAATACTTAAAACATACCTCTAACCCTAACCCTCTACCCTGCTTCTAAAACTTAGACTAGGAGGAGCACTTTAGAGCGCCAAAAGAAGGGCACCTCTGTTGCTGCTGCTGCCGCTACTGGTGCTGCTTCAGTTGAATCGACTGCTCTTGGAAGCCAAGCGGCAACTGGATGCGGGTCGCTACCGCCTCCTCAAGCAGATGAAGCTACTGCTGGCGGAGGTGAGCACCTGAGGGCTCTGAGGGTTTAGGTTTTTTCTTGCTTTGGATTCAGGGCGTACGGTGTATCATCTACTAGTTTACAGATGAGGGTTTAGAATTGAGTAGACTATAGAGTTTAGGCTTAAGGCTATAGAGTTTATTGTTGTCGGGATTCCACACTAGACGGTATAGGCTGGAAGGGGGAATGCTCAGGTTTTAGGGTTTAGGGTTGAAGGTTTAGGGTTTACTGCTTGGCTGCAGTCCAACTCTCCCTTTAACAACTTTCACCAGCTAAGGCGGGGCTACCGCCTGCTAAACATGCTCGGCCGAGGCGGCTTTGCAGAAGTGTGGGAGGTGAGGCAAAGGCCTAAACCCTAATCCCTAGAGGGCACCCCATTGAAGCATGAGCTGCTCTTACGCCGATGGATTTGGGTTATCAGGGTTTTGTTCTTTTTCTCGTTTTGGTTTTGCCATTGTGGTGTCGTTACTTGTCTTTGTCGTGTCTCCACTGACTCCACATCTGCTGTTCAGATGGATATAGGGTTTAGGGTTTAGGGGTTTTGGGGGTTCAGGTTTTCGACCCACTGACATGCTCCGTAGCAGCAGCCAAGCTTCATGTTCTGTCGTCAGTTAAGCGAGAAAGGGAAAGGCTAAAGATCGTTAAACGCGTGCAAAATGAGATTGAAATACACAAAGATATTAGGCCGCATCCTCACGTAATACGCTAAACAATACATCCGCCAAACCCCTCAGAATCCCCTAGGCGGACACCGACGCACAGCAATCACATTGAAGTGTCACCCATAAATCACAAATCCCTAATGAGACAGGAGCAGGCAAAACTACAAATGGAAACCCTAAACCAAGACCACCTTAAGCCTAAGGATCTAATTTTCAGGGTTTAGGGTTTACAGCTTGTGCTGCAGATCGTGGAAATGAAGGCCTGTTTTGAGATGGGCAATGACGTCCTCGCCAGCATTCTCCAGTTCTGTGAAGGTCCCAATCATAAGCCCTAGGCCTTAACCGTTGTTAACCAGGAAAAGTTCATGAGGATCCAGGCAGCCAGGGAGAGGCGAAAAAAGGCAGAAATAGCTGTAGCCGCATCCCGCAACAGGACTGGCAGAAGCCGCAGCAGGAGCAGCAGCGTTAGGGGTTTTGTTTGTGTTTTCCAGGAGGTGATCTCGACCACTACTTGAAGATTTCGGGGCCTCTGGAGGAGCCCTTGGCGGCTCGTTGGATCCGGCAGATTCTGCTGTAAGACTGGCCTCTAGCTACTTATACGTTTACCTAGCGAGCACGCTTGCACGCTAGTCGTTGGATAGCAAGATTAATGTGTAGGAGGGTAGCTAGCTTAGCAGATGGCTAACTACCGGAGCATATTGTTGGGTAGCCGGGTGGATGCTGGGTAGCTAACTGGATAGCGAGCTGGGTAGCTAGATGGATAGCCAGCTAGCTAGCTAGCTGGGTAGCTAGCCGAGTTGGTGGGCTATGCCATTCTTCTGTGTCAGGGCGCTGCACTACTTGAAGCATCAACCCAACGGCAGCATTTACCACCTGGTGAGCATGAAACCCAAAACCCTACACCCTAGGGTGGAGGTTTTGCCCCGAATGCAGTACGTCTTGAGCGCCCAGTTTCCAGAGGGGTGTTTCCGCTCCTCTGCGGGCGCAGCATTTTGGTCTCTGGCACGATTAGGTGCATGCAAGCTGCGCTCATGCATGCGCCGTTTATGGGGATTTCAGGACGTGAAGCCGGGGAACGTCTTGTTGCAGGAAGGTGACTGCAAGCTGGCAGACTTTGGACTCAGTTGCTTCGTCCCCAGGGGGGAGACAAAGCCATTTACAGGTGGAGGGACGCTGTGGTATCAGCCTCCCGAGTGTCTGCTGCTTCAACAGCAGCAGCAAGGCCGGCAGCAACATCAGCAACCACACGAGCAACCAGCCCGCATAGACACCATTGCCCAAGACCGCATCAAGAAGGAGCCGTCTCCCAGAAACCAGCAGCAACAGCAACAGCAGCAGCAACAGCAGCAGCAAAAGCAGCTGCAACAACAGCAGCAGCAGCCTCTACTGGTGCTGGCGGATGAGAAAGTGGGCAGCCAGTGCTGCCCAGGTGGCGGCGAGCTTGCTCTTGCTGTTGCGTAGTTGCTGATGCTGGCTATCTGCGTTGCTGCTGTTGCTGTTGTTGCTGCTGCTGTTTATGTTGCCTTGGTGTCTGGTATTTGCATTGCTTTTGCCGCTGCTGCAGATTGACATATGGGCAGTGGGTTGTATCCTATACGAGATGCTTTTCAACAAGTAAGTACATTTCATGTGCCTCCTACATTTACTGCTTCTGCTGCTTCAGTAGGAACATCAAGTACGGCAGCAGGACAAGTAGCCACAGCACAAGCAGCCTTTGCAACTGCAGTAGCAGCAGGCGCCCCGGCCGGTGTTACGTGCATTGAGCCAGCTGCTGTTTCTGCAGTAGCAGCAGCAACACCAACTTGCAGCAGCACCAACAGCAGCAACAGCTGCAGGGCTAGGTATGTGTTTGCTCCTGCAGGCGGCCTTTCTGCCGCGGCCTCCCCCCCGGACACGCCGACCCTTCTGGTGGGATGAGCTCTGCTGCTGTATCACCGTTTTAGCTGCTGCTGTAGCTGCTGCTTCTTTTGCTGCCGTTGCAGTTGCTATCGGCTGCTGTAGGTTTTTCTGCTGCAGCACATATAATCGCGAACGCCAAGGAGGGGTTCATTGTCCCTAACGGGCCCAGAAGGATCTCCGATGCAGCAGAAGTGAGGAACGGCTTGCAGTAGCACATGCAGTAACAGCAGCAGCCGGCCTGCTGCAACACATGCAGCTGGCGGTGCTGCATGCGGTCCACAAATGGCTGCGGGTATTGGTGTGGTCCTGGGGAGCTGCGGCTGCTCGTGCTGTCGATGGTGTTGTTGCTGCAATTACGGCTGTGTTTCTCGACCGATTCCTATGTCACTTTGGCTGGAAACGCTACCGGGATACCTGATGCATGCGCCTGTGCTGCGTCTGCTGCTGTTGCTACTGCTGCTGTTCCTGCAGGACATGCTGCGGCGTTTGCTTGCCTACGATCCTCGGGAGCGGCTGTCCTTAGAAGAGGCCTTGGAGCATCCTTTCCTACGCAAACCCTCAGCTGGGGCTAAGTTGGCCGACAGAATTGAGGAGACACTTCTTGCACTGGAGAAACAATAGCAGCAGCGAGCTGCTGCTGTCTGCCTGAAAGAGCTGTTGCTGCCGCAGCAGCAGCAGCACGTAGACAGGAAACAATCTTTTTGCACCGGTCACCATGGGCAGCAAGCTGCAGCGGTTGCTGCTCCTGTCTGCTGCGCGTGTAGTGACTGTTGCTGCCCCACCGGCAGCAAGCCGGCAGGAGTCCCCGAATAGCAGGCACAATGCGGGGAGCAGCACGCTTAGCAGCAGCTGTTGCTGGAAGAGACATGGACAGAAAGAGACAGAGTCTGTCTCTAGTGACAACAACAGACCCACAAACATGTAAAGATGCATGCACGCCAGTAGAGCGAGAGAGAAAGAGAAATATATTTACAGAGAAAAAGATAGACAAAAAGCAGCAGTGACACAGGGGCAAACAGACAAGTACCAGCAGACACCGAGACAAGAAAGGCAGAGGAAAACAGCGACACAGACACAAGGTGACACAGATATGACAAGGAAACGACAAGGAAACGGAGGCGGAAAAGCCACAACAAGCTAATCCGAAATTCGGGGTGCATTTGTATTCCTCCGAGAACGTAATAAAGCAGAGGCGCAGCGGGGTGGTCACAGGCCTAAGGCATCTCTGCAGCAAATGCAGCAGGCAGCAGCAGCTGCAGCAGCAGCTGCTGCAGCGAATGGAAGGGTTGCAAGAATAGCTGTAGCTTTGTTTCAAGATGGCTTGCTACTGTTTGTTTGGCTCTTTCTGCTTTTACAGTGGAGACTTTGTTTTCCAGTGCATAAGGAAACGAGTTTATATATATATATATATATAT